AAGGAGTAAAATGTGAGAGAGCCTGGGTCTTTAACTAAATCATTAACAATACTTAACCCACTATTAAACCAGGCCTTATCGAAAATTACTTTTTTTTCCAATAGTAAAGTTTCTATTGTACCAAAGCGGCATTTTCAAAACACATTTTTCACTTATTTTCTTTACTTCATTAGAATTATTAAACTTTACCCATGCTCTAAATACATCTTTCCAAAATTTGTTTTTACAATTTTTTTCACAATCTTGAAGAAATCCTGTCCCACATGTAGATAATTTATGCAGATCAAAGAATGTTTTGAAAATGAGTTGCCACTTAGATGATTTCTGATAGAGCCTTCGTATCCAACTAAGTTTTAGTGAGTCAATAAACAGATGTACATTTACCATTTTTAGACCTCCTTCATAATAGTTCTGCGTCATGACATCCCTTTTAATTTTGTCAACCTTTCCATTCCACAAAAAATTGTAAAGAATTGAGTAGATATTTTGCAGCAAGTGTTCATCTGGGTTAGGTATAGAAATAAATAAATGATTGAACTGAGATAATAGAAGAGATTTGATAACAGCTGTTTTTCCCAATAGGTGTGAGACACCTTCTAGCCCAGGTTTTAATTAGTGTTTTAAGTTTAATTAGTTTTTTTATCAAAGTTCAACTTAGGAATTTCATGCAAATTTACACTAAATTCTATTCCAAGTAAAGTAAATCTAACCCTTTCCCACTGTAAATTTAATTCAGGTAAAAAAGTATCACTACTGTAACTTTTACTTCCTATCCACACAACTTGTGTCTTATCAATGTTAAGTTTTAAACCCGATATTCTTGCAAATTTATTCAACTCAACAATAGATTCCTTCAATGATAATTCAGAGCCATCAAGTATTAATGAGGTGTCATCTGCATATTGTGTTATTAGGATTGGACAATTACTCACTTCTATACCCTTGATCTTTTTATTGTTTCTAAATCTGATTCCTAGAACTTCAACACAAAGAAGAAAGATGTAAGGGGCGATCGGATCGCCTTGATGACAACCTCGTTTAATATCTATAAAATTTGACAGGTTACCACCCTGGTTAACAGCAGCTGAAACATTAGTATGAAATAACTTAACCCAATTACGAACCTCTGGACCAAAATTAAAATAATCAAAAACTTTATCAACAAATTTCCAAGACACAGAATCAAAGGCTTTTTCAAAGTATAACATTAATAACGTTCCTGGAATATTCATATCTTCAGCAAACTGCATTATATCATATACAAGCCTAGTATTCTCCCCTATGTACCGACCTGAAAGAAACCCTGTTTGATCTTCACATATTAACTTATCTAGAACTGCTTTTATCCTACTTGCTATACAGGCTGAAGCAATTTTATAACTAATATTTAATAGAGTAATTGGTCTCCAATTTTTTTAAAAACTGTCTAGGTTTATCTCCCTTATGAATGCATATGATGACACTTTGTCTTTGAGTAACGGAAAGTAAGCCTTTTTTGTATCCACAATTTATAGATCTAACAATAAAAACACCAATCTGCTTCCAAAAACATTTAAAAAACTCAACAGTATACCCATCACTACCAGGACTTTTATTGTTCTTCATGTGTTTTAATGTTCTTGCTGCCTTGTCTAGAGTAACTAATCCTTCTAAGTCTTCTGCCTCCTTTTTATCTAGTTTTGGAACAACCGATGAGTATAAAAATTCTGATAAGTCTATATCCTCTATTTCTGAACTACTATCATCATATAATTTTTCATAATAACACGTATTTCTTCCAATATCTCAACTTGTTTTGTTATAATACTATGCTCTTTTTCTAGTTTTGGGATGATCTTGGAGACAAAATTCCTATTTTCTAAATACAAAAAAATACTTAGTTGGTTTTTCTCCTTCTTCTTGCCATCTAACTCTGGATCTAATAACGCTACCTTTAACTTTACTAACTCTAATATTTTCCAATTCCTTTTTCTTAGTTTCTAACTCCTCAGAATCTACCTGCTCTTGCTCTTCCAAATCTTGTATAGTTTTCTTTAAGATATCATCATTTAAATTTTGCAGTTTCTTTTTATATGATGAATAGGATATTGTTTTCCCCCTTATTTCCATTAATAATGTTTCAAGAAAAATCTGATCATCAATAAAAAATTCAATATCTGTATCTGAAATATTATCAATAGTATCTCTGTTGTACACTGGAAGACAATACTGTCTTTTTGTATCAGAAATTACTTTTTTTAACCAAATCAAGATATTTTTCATCAAAAAGTAATGACGAATTAAATTTCCATAATCCTTTACCTCATCTAAACTCATTAAATTTTAAATTCAAAATAGGAAAAGAGTGGTCTGATCTATAGCCTTGATCTATTTCTGAGCTGTTTACACTTGATAATAAATTATCTGAAGTAAGAAAATAATCCAATCTCGCCTGCTTCAATGGGGTCTTTTTTCTCTCCAAGTATATCTTCTATTATCAGGGTGTAGTTCCCTAAAGATATCAACTAAACCATGACTTTCAATGATTTCCAAAACCTTTTCCCTTGCTTTCTTATTATTAACATTTTTATAACCCTTATCATAGTCTATCTCTGGATCTAAAACTAAATTAAAATCCCCACATATAATAACCTTGTCATTACCAAAATCATCAATAGTGTCAATTAAATTATCAAAAAAGTTTGGTGTGTCAGCATTTGGACCATATAGTGAAATAAGTGTAATTTTTGTACCTTCTATTAATAAATCAAGAGCCAAAAAATTCCCAGTCAAGTCTTTCTTTTCCTTGTTAACCTTAATTTCACAGTTATTATTTAACATAATAGCGACTCCTCTGCAATTAGATTTAAAAGAGTTAAAAAACACTCAAATCCCCATTCACTTCTGATAACTTTCTGGTTTTCTTCAGTGAAATGTGTGTCTTGTAAACAGTAAATGGAACATCTCTTAGCTTTAAGGTACGAAAAAACATCCTTTCTTTTTAAGCTATCCCCGAGACCCTGGCAGTTAGCGGACAGAATAGATACCCCATCCATCAGTTCAAGTTATATTCCCGATTGACAAATACATGTTGACTAGCCCAGCGTTTGAGGAAAAAGTTAGAAAAGAAAGGAATAAGAAAGAAAGTAAGTTAAAAATCATGTCTAAACTGTCAAGTCAAAAACAACTGTTTACCTACGCACGCACGTTTCTCCTGTTTCAAACGTCATGTGAACAACCGGAAGTAAGTGCAAACCGGAAGTAATATATTAATCATTTACAGTGGACTGCCATTTCCCGGAATTTAAATAGATAAATGGAATTTAAAATCCAAGCTGCCCAAAAGCTTGACGATAGAAGATACTAAATCAATATTCACCTGATTTAGTTCTTTAAAGTTATGAAATTGTATTCAAAGATGTTTCATTGACGAGAAACAAACAGAATAAATATGCACTTACCGGTCTACAAGTTTTCCAGTAAACATCCCAATCGAATACATTGACAATAAAACTCACATCTTAAAGAAAAACACATTAAACACAATCACACTGTACTTCACACTATATAACTGGATCGATAAAACCAGGGCGTGTCCTTCCCTGGCGGTACTATAACGTACCCATGTCCACTATCGATCACTCAGTAGAAAAAATACACATATATACAAAATCCAAATATATAATATATATTTAAATTCACTGATACTAATCACTACCGGATCGGAAGTTTCTGTCATCTGCTAAGTAGCTGTCCGATAATTCGGTATCATATCCCAGTCTTCTTTTTTTTCCCGTTCTCTAAAACCACAAACAGTTTTCCATCCACACTATATGAATGCTTCACATTCTTTAGTCTATACGCCTGCTTTAGGATGTCCTGGTTTCGTTTGGTCAGGTCCTCGAAAATCACAATTTTCGATCCTCTTAGGTTCCGGCGCTTGCTGAGAATCTGTGTCTTTTTCCTTCGGTGTGTGAACTTACAAATTATGGTCCTTGGCTTGTCACTGTTAAATCTACCCAGCCGGTGGGCAATGTCTATATCATTCTCGTTTATGTCCACTTTCAATGAGTTCTTGACCAAAGTCACGACTTTCTCGACACACTCCTCCACCGATTCCCGATCGTTTTTATCTTCCACACCAACAATCCTAATGGAATTCTTTCTTCCGTCTTGCTCCAGGTCGTTTAACTTGTAGCCCAAAGAGGCGTTGGACTGTTCAGAATTCTTGGTATGTTCTTCCAGCTCCTCTACCTTTCTCCTCAGAAATTCGTTCTCCTTCTCTAAATCAAATATCTTCCCTTCTAACTGTTCCACGAGAACCCTGTTCTCTTCCCTAATATCTGCTCTTAGTCTCTCAATCTTTCTGTCCATCATGTTATCTAAATCATCCTTTGTCACTAGAGACGATATCTTATCAAGTAAAACGTCCTCTCTATCCTTCTCTGCTAAGGATTCACAAAGAGGATCCAAGGTCTTGCCCCTTACTCCTGTCCTCCCGCTTCCTACACTGTTCCTGTTAGCTGGCATGATGATTAAAAGTCCAAATAAAATAATAATATCGACAGGTGACACTCGTGCAGGTGAGGTAAATACATATACATGTACACACACTGGGTGCGCGGCGTAAACAGTTTTCAGTGGTCAGTCCATTGTTCTTGGTGTGTTCTCTAAAACAGCATTTTTTCCAGACTTTTCACCAAAAATGTCCCCAGAATACGTTTTAACAATTCACCGGACTACCGTGTGCCAAAAATCCGCATCTTTCTCCCGACGGAAATATAGAAACTTTGATGAAATCACGGAGCCCAAACAAAGACCGACTGACCAGGTCCAGATGACCTTGACCTCCGCCATATATCTACAGAGTTAATCGTAGAGAACCAGACAGAGTATTCTGGAGATGCACCGTACCAAGATGTCCAGCTTCCATCACCACATCAAACAACATTCCAGTATCATTTGATAGACAGCCCCATTTCCACCCAGCCGACCAGGTACAAGTAGTTGCCAAGCAGATTATGAACCAGATTACCAAGCGCTGTGCTGAAGAAATAGCTCCAATACCAACACTCTTCACAGGCGAACTCAACAAACTCCGTGGCCAAGACTGGGATGATGCCAGCAGAGAAGTCGTTGAGCGTCTTCCAACTTTCAACACAGCTAAATCATCATTGTATAGATCCCGCCGAAGACAGACACAACAACTACCAAAAGCCGTGAGCGACTTTGTACTTGGAGGGAAATGGACAGAGACAGCAACCGGGGACAGATTTCTACTATTTGATGACAGCCAGGATGCCAAACGAATTATAGCCTTCGCCACTACCGAGAACCTCCACTACCTTGCAACATCAGAAACCTTCTTATGCGACGGAACCTTTTACACATGTCCCAGCCTCTTCCACCAGATCTACAGTATCCATATCCCGATTGACGAGAAGATGACACCAGTCGTGTATGCCTTTCTCTCAGGAAAGAGCCAAGCCATCTACAGAAGATTTTTCCAGCTACTAAAAGACAAGATGGCTAAACTCAACTTAAGATTTTCTCCAACCAGTGCCCTCGCCGACTTCAAGACTGCAGTCCACAACTCAATTAGAGAGGTCTTTCCAGATACTACAACCAAGGGATGCTTCTTCCACTATACACAGAGCATATGGAGAAGAGCACAAGCAACAGGCCTACAGATCCTCTACAAAGACAACGACGCAGTGAAGACCTTAGTGAGACGCGCAGCAATCCTACCACTTGCGCCATTGGAAGACATTGAAGACGTCTGGTTCCAGGCCTTAGAAGATCGAGATGCCGCAGACCTTACCCAGCAGACACAGACCTTCACAGACTATGTAACAGAGCAGTGGATAGAAGGAGACCGACAGCTTTGGAACCATTTCCATACCGAAGGACCCCGTACCACCAACAGTGTAGAAGGATGGCACAGCAAGATAAAGAAGATGACACAGCACGCCCATCCAAATATATATTCTGCAATCCAGATGTTCAATGATATACAAAATGCCAATGAAATCAACAGAATCCAGAGAGCAGCCGGAGGAACCATGCGACCACGTTCCAAGAAATATATGAATATTGACCGACGCCTATCGACACTGAAGGAAAGATACCAAAACAGAACCATCGACCTGATGACATATGTAGATTCTGCATCCCAACTCATCCATCTCGGATAACTGTTCCAGTCATATTGAAATATGTTGAATAGGTTAATTGTAACAGAAATTTTTTTTAATCTATCTGTCAATATCTTTAATTAACTCAAGTTGTATCCAATACATGTGCAATATCAATATATACATATATTATATTTAATGTGCTACATACATTTGTTACAATACTATGCTATGATAAAATATATAGTTTATGCACCTGAGCTTATCTTGTGTCATTTTGTAATAAGACTTGTTTGTACAGGCAAGATGTTTACAATTTACAGGACTACTCCCCACTGAGAGCCCCTCAACACCTCAAGATAATTAGGTTTCAATTACAGGAGTAGTCGTTCGGGGAACACACCCGTATATGTGTGTGTGTGTTGGTTGTGTTTACCTAGGACTCAAGTTTTTGTAATTGGAAATACCGTAAAATGCAATATGTCTACTTTCATTTTTGATATATCCGATATTTCAAAGAAAATAAACTCTCAGGCTCATATGCCTTAATATGAGTATTAACATATAATATGAAAATATGTAAATAATCATATGCTATAAAAAAAGATAAGTAAATAAATAACCAGTACAATAAAGTAACCATAGCAACGAGTGCCCACAAACTAAACGATTGCGACGCAGTATGAAATGATACATGGTTAATATTATCCGATGTTAATGTTATGAGACTTACCAAAAATTGGAATGCTTTTAGCCAGTGACGTATATATTAACGGGATATGAAGCTCACGTATAGGATGAGTATCGGATAACAAGATCCCGAGAATGGCGAGATTTTACGAGATTGACGAGCCTACCAAGATAACCGCTAACAAATCGCCTTATAATTGTAAATATCAATTTATTCTTGTGACAAATCTTATGTTCTCAACTTGAAATATTATTGAAATTATCAGAGATATACTCGATAGGCAACTTCGATAAGGAAGTTAACAACAGAATACTCTTGATGTGTACGGATGTTCGATCAATGGTCATTAGGTGCGCGCCATATTGAGTTTTGCCAAATTCGGTCTTTTCATCAGTCGATTAATGCCCACATTACTGTTCCTAATTATGGTATATACGTCCCTGTTTTAGCAGTTGAGATTTAAAAAATGTATGATGATAAATCACAAACACAACAGGTCCTGTGCAATGTAGGTTAACTGTGTGTTTGGAATGCATTCGACTTGCGGACTATAAGTGGATACTTAGAAAGAACATTTAGTAATTTATAAGGCTAGTATGTGGTTTGTTATTTTTAACTGTTATTGAAATCGACTCGACAAGTACTTGTGTTTATTTATACTCTCACAATTTCTTGTAGATAGATTTATCTATAATTATTTTGATATTTGTAAGACAGAGATCATGCTCTTGGAATTTTGTTATTTATGTATTTAATACAACATATATTAAGGTGATTGGTTATCCACCCTCATAGAACAAGGCCTAGCTTGTATGAGACTATATGTTGACTGCATCTTCATTTAAACATTTCATGGAATTTATTTTTTTTTAATATTTTGCTATTTATTGGAAGACAAAGATGTATGCATAGAGTAGACTTATAAGATATTTCAAAGCTTGAAAAAATAATTAAACAAATTCAAAATGACAAAAAATTATCAGAGAACATACTCATTACTTTGGTAATAATTAGTAGCTATTCATTTTTGTATATGAGGCTTCACATTGGTTTTGTTGATTCTATTTTGTAGGTAATGTCATCCTGCGAGTGTTTTCTCGTTTGAAGGATATCTTTGCAGAACCAAAGAAAACATGCTTGATTGTCTATTCAATACCCTCATACCAAAATTATAGGTACTAATAGGTTGAACGTGTTTGGTATCATTGATACAGAGACTATTTGCTTCATAGTTAGTCATATATGGGTAATTTTCTCTTAATATGTGCATGTCAATGTTGACCATCTTCAAATAATAAGACATCTGAATAACTGGATTGTGTTGTAGATGTATTCACACAAAGTCTGACATTTAATTGGTTCCTAATTGATTTCAATAATTACCAAACTACTAAGAGACAGATCTGGATGTACTAAAATACATTTTAAAGTTCATTGGATGTGCAACAGACTTTCGGTCTGAATCAAACATGACGTTCTGTCCTATTTTTTTATCCTTTATCAAGTTATTGTGATATTTGTGTAAACATGGCCATTTACATATGGATTTCTTGTAAATAAAATGCCATCGTCAAACATTTGTAGTCATTTCATTTTGGATATATAAATAAATAGATTACTTACAACACATACGGTAATTACTCTTTTAACTATCTATGATAAACGTGGCACGTGTTTACATGAATAGTTGGCGTATAAACAAACCTGAATTACCGTCAGTTTTTAGGTACAAATCACTCCACTAACGGGAATATCTATTTCAGATACACATTATATTCAAGGGCACTTCATTCTAATGTAAAGTTGTATGGTCGAAACACTACAAGTTTAAGTGCGTAAACTGAAATATACTTACGCTTAGTCAGTTTGAATCTGTCAAATCGCAACATCCATTGCCGGACATTCCCGCCATGTCGATTATTTACATTAAAAATCAGTTAAGCTGATTTAAGTATCGAATTCAATTGATAATTGCTCGATGTAACAACATTATTAGATGGTTGCGTTAAATATGTTCTATTTTCACCACAGGATGTGCCTGACAAAACGGCTCGGGCAGCTCTTAGCACTGGAACGCCGGTATTGAATCTGACAAAGAAGACAGAGCGAATGGGCATGCAACAGAGGGGATCATACCAAAAAAGCATAGAGAGGGTGTGGAATTCATCATCGAAATGGACGACAACAAACCAAAACGATCCTCACACAGTTTCTCTGTCGCCGCAATACCGAGAGTAACACAATGTTCAACTGGCGAGAAATCTCGCACCGTGAAACTACCACCCATTTCTAAAATGGAGAGAATGATAGCAACCGTAGAAAAGATGGACAGGGCCAGATTGAACCGTGAAATGAAGATGAAGGAACGAACGGCAAAGACTGCCAGAACTGTCAAGGTACGAAAGAGGCGTGAATATAAAGTGAACAGACAATAATTAGCTGTTTTCAATGTTTTCTTCTATTATTTGGAAATGTAAAAAACTCTCTGTCAATTTAACTGACTGTTTATTGTTTCTTCTTTAAATTAATTGTTTTCAGGCACATTGTCATGAGCTAGGTAAGTATTATGTACATATCATGCATAATATTATTGTCGCAGGACCTCATGGACCTCAATAACTAATACGTATGTGTAAAAACATGAAACGTCTGTTTTTTACATTATGCAGGGGACATCACCACGTCTAGTTGAAAAGTTATTTGGCGCTTGAAAACATGTGTGCTGCAGGGAACACATGGATGTAGCAGTCTTTATCGGAGTATTCTCCGAAGATGAGCGTCAGTTTAACTTACGTAAACACTATAAAATGTCTACTGGTAAGTAATGGTACTCTATATGGACTTAGTTATGAGAATAATGACTTTCTGAAGTCTTAGGTCCCTGTGGAAAGGAGGAAGAGGAAGGTGTGATGACGTGATGATATTATATATATACATATATATGATCAATGAAATAAGTGAATTGTCAAATTTTCGAGGCAATCTGTCCCTTTATCAAGACACAAATGTACCTCACATACATCGAACATAAAACACAAAGTTATAAATTATACTGTAGAACGGCATTGTAAGTTTATGTGTCTTGACACCCTTTCATCCGAGGAAAGGAGTAATATATATATCATATATCAAGCTCGGGTACATTTACGACAGGTAATTCAAATCTGGCACCTTCGGACCAATCGTATATGATGCATTGTGCTAATGTCTTGATATTTAGGCATTGTAACACAACGAAGGAAGGCAATGTTTTATTTTTGATAACCTCTATACTACTTTGTTGGTGAACGCTGGGCTCAGGTAATGCACACTCGTCTTCATCTCTATAATAATCATGTTTCAGATACAGATCTGTGTGTGTGTGGGCAGGTTGAAACTCCTTATTATTTGATGCAGTGTGTACGCTATAATCGAGCTAGAGAAAATACCCTAGATACATTAAATTTCACTTTATCACTAGAATTACTCATTCATGGTGACCCAAACCTGTCTCAAGATGATAATATCATTATATTTGAAAAGGTGCAAATGTACATCGTAGAGTCGGGTAGATTCTAGGTGCTGGATGGAGTTTCCTTGTGCTCTCTTTATCTCTTCCTTTCTCCTATCTTACCAACTTATGTTATCTCCTTATGGTTTACATATTAACGGTCAGTGTTCATCAGTGAATGTTAAGTTTAAAAAAAAATCTCTTTCAATGTGTTCAATGTAAATTGTACTATTGTAACTGTTTTATATTGGAGATGGCTTAATATAAGATTTATAATCTTGTTGCCAGATCCATTTTCAATTTTATAATTTGTGTATGTGTATGTTGTAAACGAAAATCTGAAAATAAAATATTGTTTAAACCAATTTTTGATTCGTGCCCTGCCCGGGCCTCGAACTCACGATCTATGACACCAAATATCCAAGCCAATGAATTCCAGACTGCCTAACATACTATATCGTATAAAACACAAAGCGTCAGCACATTGGCATGCTAATTAGAATTTTCTTATAATTTATCGTGGTAATGTCACGTGACACATAACGGCCAAGCATGCGTATCGACAGCCGTCCGCGAAAAAGGAAAACCAAGTATTTCTGCAGTGATATCAAATATGGTGTACTACTATCGTAATGGCTTATTTCAGAAAATCGATATTTATTCTGCTAATCAAATTAAATAAGTTCCCGTCCATTTCGCGCGTAATTACTTTTTGGCGGGAAGTCGCTGTTGCATTTGATGACTGGGGAGATTATGTTGCAATGAATGATGAGATCCGCCCTGTAGGGGGCGCTCCACCCGCTATCGCTAACAAAGCACAATAATCACAACGACAACCAGTCTTTTTATCGGCTGTTTAAATAATAACGTGTTTTTAAT